TGTGTGCCATGGGTGAGCATGGCAAATAACTTACTCCTAGGTCTTTGTGCTACTCGTAAAGTGGCAGTTTAACCCCACGTCTCATGTGCACACCAGCCTGATAGCCCAGAAGATTGATCTTTGACCTTGAGTGGGTCACCTGACCTCACAAACTGCCTCACCCAAAGCAGGAGTAAATTCTGGCAAACTATTTCCTCTGTCCCTTCTAGCCGTAAACTCTTTGATTCTAAAACTTTAAAACCAAAAGCGGTGTTGGGTGCATGGCTTGGGCCAGGTAGGGACAGAGTGGTAAACAGGACTGGCCCTGCTGTCCCAGGCAGCTTCCCAGCTCAGTGCCGGGCATGGGAGCAACGGTGGAGGTGGCACGAGGAGGCTTCCCTATCCCTCTGAGAGAGACAGTCTCCTGAGTTCCAGGCAGGCACTGTTTGAACAGAGACCCAAGGGACAGGACGGATGGAGCCAGGCACATGGAGATGAGCCTCTGCATTTTGGGGAGGGGTGCTCATGGACCTGTGTGCCCGGAGCAGCGGACCTTGGGGAGCGCTGGGCAGAGTCAGGCTGGGGAAGGGAGCACCTGTCAAGGGCGACACCCAGGGCTTCTTTTGAGGGCAGAGGGAAGCCATTGGAGGGTTTTAAGAAAGAAAATGATACGAACTGGTAACATTTTTAAAATAGAGCACCATGCAAAGGGGAGGGGAAGGGAAGAAACTGCTTTTTATGTGAGTAGAATCCTCGTATCCCTGCGAAAGGCGCCTGATGGAGATTTGCTCTGTGGCTTCGCTTGCCACTACATTTTTCTCCAGCTCATCTCCAAAATAAGCGTGAGCCAAAGCCAAAGGGCAGGATGTGGCTTGAGCACGCGGTGGCCGTTGTCCCTTCCTCCCATGGCTCGGCCCCATTGGCACTGTTCTTTAGTGCACAGTGAGTGAGTCCCTACAGAACGTGCCAGATCCTCACCCTGCCCGCAGCCCTCCTCCCCTATCCCCTTTACCCTCCGGTCTCTTGAAACACAGCCACCAGTTCCTGGCACCTGGCTAAAACTTGCTCCACAGAACGCAGTGTCTTCCAAAAGAGACATTTTCCTCCGCTCTCTTTTTCTCTGAGGCTAAGGGTGAAGAATCTAATGGACTCAATCATTTTGGTAAACAAATTGCTAGATACAAAACTACTCCCTTGTACACGCGGCTCTCCGGCACAGCAGTGAGATTCCTTAATCTGCCCTCCACACTTCCGGTCCCACACAGTGCTACCTGCTGGAAAAGGTAGATCTAATGGAACAGCAGACCTAACGCAGTTCCCTCCTCCTAAGCACACTGTGAGCATGTTCTAGATATTGATTCTCCCCTATTGTAAGAAGCCCACTACCTAAGATTGATGGAATATTTCCAAACTGTTTCCCCAACACATAGCAGTACACATCGTTACTACCGGTTTTAGAGAAAGAATGGGGCTTACATGAAAAAGGGGTTGGCCTAGACACACAGAAGTCACTGAGGAGTCAGAATCTGTATTCCCTATTAAGTGTACCCAGGCTCCAGTCTTGAGTGCCTGCTTGCTAATGCTGGTGTATAAGCGAGTTGGGTGAATGCTTAACTTGAACCTCAGTGTCTTCACCTGCCACGTGGGGAGCCTGCTTCCTGGGGGTCGCTGAGGACTGAAGGCCGTGATGTGAAGCATGTGACCCAGTCTCTAGTGCTTAGCAAACCCCCGTCTTTTTAGCAAAATGAGACCTCGCGGTAGATGCAAGTAAGCGAGATATAAAGGTTAGGAACATCATTCTTCACCAGCAGGCCGGAGCTCTCAAATGCAGGCAGGAAGGGGTGTTAAAACTGGAAAGCGTTTAGTCAACAGCACATACTATTGAAGTACAGAGGGTCTTCAAATGAGCTATTCATTTACTGTTCTCTTCCTGTAGATAATTTTATCTTTAGCATTCTCTGTGGTGTGATAAAAGCCAATAGGAATAATGTGTTGCTCTGGTTCTTGGTGCCAGGTGAGACTGCTCCACAGCGGTTTGGGAATCAGCTCCCTTCTCCATCATACACTGGAGGGGGGAGGCAGGCAGCTGGACGCACCCTTTGGCCCTGTACCTGCACCAGCAGCCAGCGCGCTGTGACGGAGAGGCCACGTCTGGCCCTCCACCTGCGCGTGTGAACGAAGCGTTACTGAAACGCATCCGTCTACACATTGTCTGTGGCTGCATTGGCAGCTGAGTGTTACTGCAGAAGCCATACAACCCAGAGGTCTGAAGATATTTACCGTGGGGCACTTTACAGAGGTTTCCCAACCCTCGATGTGAACTTCAAACTTCACGGAAGACTGGGATTTAGAACTGATCATGGATGTTGATGGATTTATCTCCCTTGATTCTCATAAGGATGCAGGAAGCAATGATCTTTCCTTTTTACAGTATTGCCATTTGACAAACTAAGAAGCTGAGAGATTAAAGACCAGAAAGAGACTTCATGAGTCTAGGGATCAGCTGTCTTTATGTTGTGCCCTATTGCCTACCATGACATTGGCCCAGTATAGACTCTCAGAAATACTTGCTAGATGAATGACAGTTGTAAAGGTCACTGCGCTGGAGAATCCAGGTCTCCTGTTCCACAGCTGGCAGTGGAAAAAGAGACTTTCTCTTAAGATAGGTGAAATGCAGAGCGGCTGACCTGTCCTTCTGCTGTTAGTTGACAAATTTATGCTGCTGTGTCCCTCCACCTCCCTCCTGAGCCAGAGAAGATAAGCCAGGCCAGTCTCAAAGGTTTGTGTTTCCCTTAAATGCGTAGCCATGGCCTTCAGAGACTTTTTGCCCTTGTGATTGGTGCAGTTTTAGAGGAGATTAAAACTGATACCCTTGGGAGGTGGGGGTCGCCTGGACTCCACTGGGTTTGCAGTGGGGCAGAGCACCTGTCTCCTCCCACATCCACCCCCACCCTCCACCCTTCTCCAGATACCACGGTGATGGGCCCAGGCTGGGAGCCAAGCCCTTTCAACAGCAGCCATGGCCAGGCTTTGGTTTGCTTTCTCTTGTTTTGTACTGGTCATGGGACACTCCAGGTATAAATAAACTCTCACCTCGGCCTCCTGGATGTGCTGCTGGTCAGGGAGAGAAATGCAAGGTTTGCCCAGTCCCTGTGCCACTATCACTCCTCTCTTGATTGTCACATGCTGGCTGGTGCAGAGGTAGACGAGATAGGCAGAGAGCTTTGGCGTGGTCACTGTCTATGGACATGGCCTGTGCTGAAGCTTGATTTCATGCCTCTTAGTGACGCTCTGTCCACTCGTGACCTAGATCAGCAGTCCCAATCCCAGCAAACCAATCTGCCACTTCCTTAGAGGCCAGTGGTTGTGTCTTGCAGTGTGTGGAGATACAAAAGCCAGGCAGGAAAAGGATTTTAGTGGAGTTAGGGGTTTTTTTTCCAAATTAAAGTAAAATTACATTGGGGAAATTATGTCTGTATGTGGCTTGACAGGCAGCTGCAGGGCTTGGCAGGCACAGAGGATTTCAGCCAGAGCCTGGGAAGCCGGGCGCTCTGACCAGCCCAGTCTCCGTGTCCGTGGCCCCAGTTCTCCTCTGCAACCCAGGTTTTAAACTTCAGTTTGCTACTTCCCTCAGTCTGTATTCCAGCACCCAACACTGCTCAGAGGTGGTGATTATTGACCCCAAATGAAGTTAGGCAGAAGCCTGGCTAGGTGGAAATCACTTAGAAATTTTCCTAGGAGCAGAAATCCCAGTTTCAGCAGAAATGAGGAGTCTTGGTTTTCTAGTCTAGTTTTCTGAATTAGTTTTACTAGACCTGCTAGTTTCTGAAGAAATAAAGTGTCTTCACTTTATATTAAGTCTTCCATTTAATGACTCTCTTATTTGGCCCTCTTATTTTCCAGTGCCAAGGGCATGGCTGAGTCCTCTTGATGGTTGCGGAGTATTTGTAAAGCTTGGCCTCTTGAGTCTCACTGTGCTCATCTGTGAAGTGGGTTGAGCTAGCCAATCTGAAGAGCCTTTGCAGTATAAAATTTCATTTTCAACAATGTGCTTTGATGTTTTTTAAATCATGCTATTCCTGTTAGGATGTTACTATAGAAGGAAAGGTTGAAAAAATGATGTATCGACCTAGTTTTTATCTTCATTTCTTTCTTTTTTTTTTTTTTTTGGTAGTGATAGGACTTCAGCAAAGCAACTTTTATTTAGCACCTAGTCTGAGGGTGCACTGTATATGCATTGCCTCATTTAAAGCCCATAGCAACCTTGGGAACTCTAGGTATTACCAGTAGATATGAAGAAGCTGGAACCCCCAGAAAGTAGCTGTCTTACCCACACCACAGAGCTGATAAGTCTCCAGAACGGGACTTGCTCAAGGCTAAGAGCCCTGAGATTCTAGTTCTAAGCCATAGTAATGTCACTGCCACAGTAGACACAGATGTGCTGTACATCCCTAAGTTCTCTCCCTGGACTTGTGCCTTTCCATTGAGTGTCGTGAGAGATTCTGATTGGCGTGTTTCTGCACACTGCCTAAGCGGGAGATACTGCAAAAAGAATTGCTGCTTCTTGGAAAAGGTGCACCGTGGCGAGCAGGAGCTGTGGGAGGCTTAGGAACAGTGGGGGGTGGTAGGAAGAAGCTGCAGGGGGTTCAGGACAATTCCCTACGTCTCAAGGTGACTGTGAAACTCAGATGCTCACGGGTCACAGAGACTTCATTCTCTTCAGAGTACCGTCAGCATCCCTTCCCCAAGTAGGGCAAGTAGGATGGACTAGCCTCCACTGAAGTCAAAACTCGACATTATAAAAGAAAAAAGCAATTAAATATTCAGCCCAGTTCCCAGGTTTTGGGTTACCCCCATTTGTCTTTCACTTTGAGCATCTGCTTTTGATGGCCTGGCGGCCCTGCCTGCCGTTTATCTCTCCCTGTCAGCCTGTATCTACGTGTCATGTGACTCAAAGGGAAGATTAGAGGAGAAAAATATCTCTGAATTCTAAGCTTGGCGACTTCTATTTTTATCCACAGCTGTTAGAACTGATAGCAAAGTCACAGCTCACATCCCTGAGTGGCATCGCCCAAAAGAACTTCATGAACATTTTGGAAAAAGTGGTACTGAAAGGTGAGCTCCCTTGCACTGGCTTAGCCTTTTTATAGGCAGGGGTGGGCAGATGGCTTTTCTCCAGAGCAGGCATGTCGTGAGATTTAAAGGAATGTAAGCAGATTGAAGTGCGTAACTCCAGCTGTACATCGGGGCTGCCAGAGTCCAATTCAGGACACATCCCATCCATGCCCACGGCACAGGGAGAAACCATCGCACTCCTGTTTGGGGGCAGTTGTCTTCTGTCTGCCCCCAGTCTCCTGAGTCTTGATGAGGGCTCAGATCCCATCCAGCTATTGAACCTTCTGCCTCCTAGAAAATTGAACTATTTTCAAGGTAGAATGGATTCATAGACTCTTTGAGCTAGAGAGAATTTTAGGTCACTGCACACACAGGGAAACTGAGCTCCAGAACAAGTGATTTGTGCATAATCACACAGAAATGTGCCAGACGACCAGGACTTGAGCTCCTCGCGCCACACATGGTTTCTCCCATACCCATCTAAAAGCTACCACTGCGGAGCAAAAGCAGCAGCTTTCCGATTGGGTGAACCATTGGCACTGGCAGAGCAATGGGAGTAGAAAGGAGCTTTGTAAAAACCCAGTGAGAAGAGAACAAAGAGGGACCTAGATAACAGAAACCCTACCCACCAGCCTTGAGTGCAGAGGCCTGGCCAAGTGTTGAGAACAGAAACCTGATCCCGGAGCTGGGGCCTGGGAAACAGGAGCAGGCAGGGCAGAAAAAGAGCCCCTTGTATCACATGCGCTGTGCCAGGATCCTGACTTTCGTGTTTTTTCTTTCCCACTCAGTCCTTGAAGACCAGCAAAACATTAGACTAATCAGAGAACTGCTGCAGACCCTCTATACGTCCCTGTGCACCCTGGTCCAGCGAGTCGGCAAGTCGGTGCTGGTGGGGAACATCAACATGTGGGTATACCGCATGGAGGCCATCTTGCACTGGCAGCAACAGCTGAACAATATCCAGATCACCAGGGTAAGCAGGAAGGCACCTCACCAAGCTGCTGCTTCCTCTGTCCAGGGGCGGGACAGCCCAGCTAGGACTAGGTTCCCTGCCACCACCATGATGGCTGACAGAAGAGTCCACTCTTCTGATGTCGTGGCTGGTCCTGGTGCTAGGGTTGGCTGGGGGCTTCCTGCAAGGGGGAGCTTGACAAGCGGAGATCAAGGTGTGTGAAAGGTGCTGGCCAGCTGAAATGCCATGGGCACGCGGCATTCAGAGGTCTCTCTGCCTGCTCCCTTGTCTAGAACAAGTTGTTGGCAGCTTTGGGATGCAGCCTTGACTGCGGTTGAACTGTAAAGGTGGGGACTTGGTGAACTGGTACTTGAGACCTCAGGCAGTCATGGAGAGCTCTAGGGCCTGTGTCCAGGATGATGGCAGAGGAAGCCTGACTGTGACTGTGCTCATGCATGTAGGGAAATGATGAGCAGTTATTAAGCAGAGAAAAAAGCCCTGGTTACCAACAAAATGTGGCTGCAAGTATTGGTAGTTTCTCCTGGCTTCAAAATCTAACTCGGCCTCATTTACCGTCAGCTCTTGTCCTCTTACTGAGCAGGAAAACTAAGGCGCACACACAAAATTTTTAAATGTGCAAAAGATGCTGGAGCAATCACTGGAGCCTCACTAGTGGACAGACACACTCAGACAGCTCATGTCACACCTCACTCACTTGGCTCCCAGGAGCAAGGCTGATAAACCTTACGGCTGTGCCCTATCAGGGCAAGTAGCAAGCAGAAACCCCTTGGCCCCTTGTCAGTGGCTTTTTTCATAATGAAGTTTTCAAGATGTACACCCTCAGATTTTATTGTTAATAACTTGTATGCCTTGATTCCTTAAACTCTGAAACCATGGGCAGAATTAGAAGCGTCCAAGCTGCATGACTTCCTTTGAGTCCCTTAGGCACTGACTCCAGGTCTCACACACACACACACACACACACACACACACACACACACACACACACACGTGTGCAAGTGGCACAGAGCATAAATGCAGATCACCTGTTAGAAACCGTCTCAGTGATTTGATTATTTAGCAGAATGTACCTATTATGGACAGTAACCTGATCTACTCTAATAGTTTACCTTCTACCCATCTCTCAGGAATAGGCCTAGCTTGACAATAGGCATTGGAGACTAAATTTCCATGCTTCTGGCTCACACACACAGGAATACTTGTACCTTCTACCTGGTTTCTAGCGTTTTCTATGACCTAGATTTAATATTCTCTCTCCTTTGACAGAGTGAGCAAGTCCCATTTGTCCCTGGGACATCGTGCCCTGCAGCAGCCATCGACACCATTTAGATGGCAGTGCTTACCCTGTGTCCTCTGCCATCTCGTAAGAGACCCCCTTGGCCCCACGCATGCATACCTTGTGCTTCCATGTGCCAACTCCCTCTCAGCCCTCTTCAGCCACCCGCAAACATTCTTGGCAGGTAGCATAGCTGCTACTGTCGCACGTCATGGAGTGGGGCTGTGATGGGCACGGAGGAGCCCAGCAAGGTTCCCAGCATCACACAGCAGCTAGTACTAGAACTGAGGTGACAAAGCCCACTTAGCCCCAGTGGTTTCCAAGCCTTGCTCCTGTCTAGCTTTCTTTCAACTCTTTATCCAGCGATCAGTCTTTCTTTGAACAGTTTTAATCCTCTGAAATCCTCTCCTGAAGAGATCAAACACACATGCCGCCCTCCCTCCTGCTCGAGGTGTTTGAGCCAAGCCCAGCTGCATCTGCACTGCCAGCAAAGCCTGAGCCTCAGAGCCTCCAGCCTTCCAGGCTTCCTTGACCATGCAGGCTGGGAAAGCTACTGTCACTATCACTGTCGTCACTTCCTCAGGTTCTGTGAAACCATCTCACACACCCGCCCTTCTCTGTCACCCCCACTGGTCTGTAATCTCCACAAAGGAGGCCCATAGCCCCACCTTCCCTGGGGCGGCCTGCAGCACAAGGCAGTTAGAGAGTTTTAGTCCAGTGAATGAGGCTCCGCCACCCTCCTCCTGCCGCTGAAGTGCTCATTAAGGAAAATAGTGGAAAAGCCCTGGATTGTAGATGGCCAGCTGCAAATTATTCACTCTCTCCAGGCCTCACTTTGGAAAATAGGGACAGTGACAGCCTGGGGTGAGAGCATGCCAGTTAAGCCCCAGAAACCAGTGGGCAGGGCCTGGCATGTTGTAGGTTTCTGAATGGGTTGAGTGTCATTTCGCAGGGCTGGCGATTGAACCCAAAATCTCACTTACGCCAGGCAAGTGCTCTGCCTCTGAGCTCCTCCCCAGCCCCCAGGGTTCCTGTTACCAAGGGCTGGCTTTGTGCACACACTCCTTTAAGACCTCCACATGTATTAGGGAACTCATCTAGTGAGTAACTGTAGGTAGGCAAATCGCTGAAATTAACTGGGCACTGTGCTAAGTACTTCCTGCATTCTCCTCTGTGCCCCCAAGCAACACTGTAAGATACGCATTTCCTTGTTTTATAAATGAGGAAACTTAGACTGAGTAGTTGATACCGTCGTGCTTAGTTGTGTCTGTAGCGGACTGACTTCAGGACCCCCGAGAACACCAGATTCCACATCCAAGTCCCTGTAGAGTGGCATAGTATTTGCAGTCTGTGTATATCCTGCCATGCACCGTAAGTCATCCCTAGACCATGCGTGATGCCCACTACAGCTGAAGCCCTGTGTGAATAGCTGCCGTGCAGTGTTGTTTATGGGATAATGACGAGAAAACTGCTGAGCGTGTTCAGTGCAGATTCGACGTTTTTGAATACTTTCTACCCATGGTTGGTTGAATCCAAGGGTCCAGTGTCATTTTTCATCTGGGGCCTCAACACCAGTTGGGCTGGCTGCGGCTTGGGCCAGGCTTGTCCGCAGAGGCTGTGGTTCTGACTGCTGCCCCTCCCTGCCGTCCTCGCCGCAGCCCTCCCAGGCACTGGGCTGCGTTATTTTGAGAGCTGGGCTGGAGCCCGCAGAGCTCCGAATTGCCGTCCACATAACTGCCCAGCTCTGCAGAGGAGAGAGTGAGGATTTAATTACTCCAGGCTGAACTGTACTTTCAAACATATTTTGAACAGTTTGGCCTAAAGGAAAGTTTGTTATTCCGTGGAAACAGTAAGGTGACTTTCTCGGTTCTCTGTGGGCCAGAGTTCCGCCAGTATCTTCCCAGCACATAATCTTGTTTTCCTTCAAAATTTTCATACCTGAATCTTTGGAAGCAGTTTTCATTGGCAAATATAATTCATATACTAATGGGCCAAGGAGAAGGTTAACAGAACTGGTTTACAGAAGGGAAACCAAATATAATTGCAGTGCTGCAGGCAGGGCAGTGTTTTAAAATGCGGGGCAGGGCAGGCGTGAGTGGACTGTGGCCAGCTATGTGACTGGAAGAGCAAGAGTGACGTATTTCTCTTGCACATGTTTATATTCAAAAAGAAGAAAGCATGCAGGCAGTTAACTGCTTATCAGGAGTAAAGGCTTGGCATGGGTCTGGGTAAGGATTTTGGAAAAGTGCAGGTTTGAAAGTTTGACAGAGTTGAACTCTTCCAAGCGGGCTTGCCTTTAATAGGAGTTAATGTAATAATTGGCCTGGGAGCTTTAACCAAAAAAGTAGAGGCTTTGAAGTGCTAGAAACTAAAAGAAAATCTCATGGCAGTTTTACTAGTTCATGTGATCGGCAGCAGATGATAAATGACATGAGGGCCTAGGCTTTCCGCAGGTCTGCATATTCTTGTGTGTCGAAGCAGTGAAAGTTCGGCCTGGTAGCCTGGGGTAGAAGTAAGTGACAGACAGACTCAGGGCCAGCCGCTTCCGCTAGACAGGGGGCCAGAACCGCTCAGGTCTGAAGTGGTCAGAGCTGGAAGTTCCTTCAGTCTCCTACAGCTGGCCTTTCTGGATCTCAGGAAATGGAGTCCCATCTTCCCCGGATGCCTGGGACCCGGATCTGCTGCTCGTCCTTGCAGTGTTGCCCATGCCTCCCATAGTCCCTCTCAATGACCCCTCCTTCTTCGGGCCACTTGCTGCTGCCCATTGTCTCCCTGTGTGCCAGTCTAGCCTTGTAGGAGAAACACAGGCAACTGCTGGGACCGAGTGGCCCTGCAGACCTCCTCGTGTTGGCCCTTTGGTGCACCTGCTACGGAGTTTCACTCCTTAAAAACTCAAGAGAGACTGATACCATTCCCAGGGCCTTTCGCCTGAGCTAAGGTAAGGGTTGGCATCCTACTTTCCTTTTTTCCTGTGACCTCTTAAAGGTGGCAGAGCATTGAACTAAAAATATCAGTCATCAAAATCAAGAACCCACCTCAAAGCAGCAGAGAACGATGAGGGTCTACAGGGCCGGGCTGTTAGGGGCATGTCAGCCAGCAGCCACCGCTGAGGGCCTCGACTGCAGGTCACCTTGTGGTTCCCGTGGGTCCCCCGCTGTGATGAGATGGAGCATGTGGTGCTGGAACGGCTGGCTTAGGTGCTGGGACCCGCCATGACAGCTCATTGCTGCAGCTCCCGCAGTAGGCCATAGCGGGGGTCAGCCAGGGGTTTCTGGGCTGGCACACACACCAAGTATGCTCGTGGCACACTGTCTTCATGTTCTTTTTTGCCTTTTTAATTATCTGAGTTTCATTCATTCTGCTCGTTCATATTTATTGAGTCCTTACAGGGCACCAAGCAGCCTTCTGGAAACTAGGAACACAGAAGTGGGTTGAAATAAAATTTCCTGCATTCGTGGACCTTAAGTTCTAGCAGCAGGGTTCCATTCCAGGTTTCTTTTAGAAAAGGTTTGAATTGCATAAAAAAAGAGATGTTACAGAAAGTGTCCAGAGGAGCTAGTAGGAGTTCTAGGTCAGTGCAATGAATAGGTCTAGGAGACTGCAGAGGCAGAAGAGGCTTTTGAGAGAACTGGGTTTGCACTGGGTCTGAGGAACAGGAGGGGACCAGCAGCATGTGTGCGTGTGCACAGGTGAGCCAGGTGTGTCAGTGTTGGAGAGTAAACCGGAGTGGAAGGATCTCCGCTCTCGGGGACAGTGAGACAGGAGTCCCAGGGTAGCCAGGCCCTCGGGCAGTGAGTGAAGCCTCTGGGAAGGCAGCACATCTGCTAATGGAGCACTGAACGGAGTGAAGCTAAGAATCCAGTTTGTGCCATCTCTAGACTGTTTCAGGGTGAAAGTAAAAGGCTTTGTGGTTCCTAGGAAAATTCCTCTGGCGCCTTGCAGGGCATGCCACACCAGGCTGACCTGAGTCTCAGCGTGGGACCTGGTTCTGCATGTAGGCTAAGGAGAGTCATAGCTTTGACCTACGATCAATAAGCTAGCCTAGGGGTAGTAGATCCTTACAGGATGTCACCTGCAGAAAGGCTGTTCTCTGACCCCTGCTAACTGTCCTCTTCACAGCCCGCCTTCAAAGGCCTCACATTCACAGACCTGCCCCTGTGCTTACAACTGAACATCATGCAGAGGCTGAGCGATGGGCGTGACCTTGTCAGCTTGGGCCAGGTGGCCCCCGACCTGCACGTGCTCAGTGAGGACCGGCTGCTGTGGAAGAATCTCTGCCAGTACCACTTCTCCGAGCGGCAGGTCAGTGGGCCCGGCAGCTCCGCTTGAAGCTTTTCCTTCCCTGCCCACCCCAGGGCATCATTCTCAGTGTGTCTGCGGGCCACTTGCCTGGAAGGACAGTCTAAGGAGTGGTTGGTGGTGAACCTTTTAGAGCTTTACAGACACCTAGCTGCGGCATGCATGTCGTAGGTTCACTACCATTGGTCTAAAGAGTTTCTAAATGAAGGGCTGAGGTGGTTTCTTGTTTTCAGGTCGTTTTGATTTTTAAAACAACTTGCATTCTCAACCTGATCACATTTTACAACTCAAAAAATTCATAGACATACATGCTTTCTAAAAAATAATTATGTTTTATGGCACTTTATGGTTCGAGTGCTTTTGCAGACATTATTTCATTGTATTCACAAAATCCAGGGAAAGATAGATATTGTCACACTCACTTTAAACACAGGAAGACAGTAAGGCAACCACTGGTCACATGGGTGTCTGCACTAGCGAAGAAGCCTCCTGGGTGAGGTAATGGGTGCTAAACTTGAATCTGAGCCTACAGACAGTCTTTGTCATTTTCTTTGTTGTTGGGACAAAATATTCAGCATCCACTGCTTAAGTGAGGAGAGGTTTATTTTGGTTCACAGAGACAGCTCGAAGTTGGCCGGCTCCCAGGCGGGGTCCACGTCAGGGAAGGGTCTGGCAGAGGAAAGTGACTCACGCCATGGCAACCAGGAAGCAGAGAGAGCAGGGAACAGCCAGGGAGGGAGATGCACCCTCCCCACTCACACCCCAGTGACTGTCTCTTCTGACCAGACCACATCCTCACAGAATACTCAACACAAACACAGTCATAGATTAGCCCACTGTGCCCCAGTCCCCTTCCAAAAGCGCCACCTCTAAGCACAGGAGGTTTAGGGGGACCTTCAGGTCTAAACCATGATAGACACCAGCTCAAGGACTGCTCCTTCCTGGCTTGCTGCTCTGAGCTTGTTTTCTAATTTCTTTATCCAGGTGTGTGAATTCAGAAGGTTCTGCTCACGAAACCACAGATCTAGATACTCAGTAGAGACACACTGCCAAGCAGTTACTGTTCTCTCTCTAGAAATAATCACTCAGCTCTATAGCTAAAGAAGACTGAAGTGATTAATGGAAATGATCTGAACTTTAAAGAACCATCCAAGACCATCAAGTAGAGGCCACCAATGAGATGTCACCTGCCACCTACTTAAAGACTGTTTAGAAACTGTTCTGTAACCGGGGAAGCTGAGAAAGCACTTCCCCGGTGTGAATCTTGAGTGTGTTCCTCCCTACTACTGTAGAGATTTTAAAGAGAAAGGAAGACAAAAATAAAAAGGAGGCGGAGCTGGCATATAGCTTAGCAGCATAGCGCCTGCCTGGCAAGCACAAGGTCCTGAGTTCGATTCCTAGTACCCCCCTCCAAAAAATAAAAAATAAAAAAGGAAGGGAGGAGTGAAGAGGGTGGGAATAAATAAACCTTTTCGGAAGCAGAAAACACAGACCCTCCCTTTGATAAATTTTCCTGCAATTTTTAATTTTTAGATCCGCAAGCGATTAATTTTGTCAGACAAAGGGCAGCTGGATTGGAAGAAGATGTATTTTAAGCTTATCCGATGTTACCCAAGGAAAGAGCAATATGGAGACACCCTCCAGCTTTGCAAGCATTGCCACATTCTCTCCTGGAAGGTATGTGTCGGCTGATGGTGCATGACTCAGAGACCCTGGTCCCATCGCCAAGAGCTGTAGGCCAGCACTAAGAGGCCAGCTCCTTTCCTCACTTCCTCTGTCTCAGCCCCGGGTCTAGGAAAGGGTAAAACTGCTTTAGTGCCTGGACAGGAGGAGAAACCCTTCCTTTCCTCATTTTTCTCTGTAGTCCTTCACCCTAGCTTCTTCCAGCTCTAGACGCTGGGTGATTCCAGGCACATACCCATCCGCAGCTTTCCTGCGCCATAGTGTGCTTGATTAGAGAATTGTTCTGAACTTGGGCGATGCCTTGTGGTACCCACATTGCATGATACACCTGTCCACCCTCGAGCCTGACCAGAACATTCCTTTGCAGGGCACTGACCATCCATGCACAGCCAACAACCCGGAGAGCTGCTCTGTTTCACTTTCGCCCCAGGACTTTATCAACTTGTTCAAGTTCTGATCCCAGCACGCAGTGGCACCTGCCAGGGCCTGCTGACCGAAGGCTCCGAGTCAGCGTGTGGACACTTCATCTGTAAATAGTGTACATTCTAGACCTTGGCTTGCGACTCCTGGGGTCAGTCACCGAGAGGATGCTGGAGGGGAACGATACATTTGCTGACGGGAATTTAAGAACGTGAAGTTCACAATTGGTAGAGAAAAGCAGAAATACTGTAAATAAACTTTTTTCCTAACAACTTACCAGAAAGACTATAAGGGCAAGAATTCTATGTCATCCGGGGAAATAGAATTCTCTCGATGGTCGCGGACACTCCTGTATAGCTGTTCCCTGGGAAGAAATAGCAAAACTCAAATACAAGGTAGAATCCTCTTTGCTTAAAATGTGAAAATCGGTTTAGACAAAACAGAAGAAAGACAGACAAAACTACATATGAGAAACCCTTGGGTCTTTGGTTTTGATTCAGTGTGTTTTGAAACGGCAAAGAAATAGCAGCCCACCAGTGCACCCCGCATGCGGCTCACCCTGCCAGCCACACAGTGGTCTACCTCCAAACGCAAAGCGTGCTCCGCTGCCCGCCAGCGTGCATTCCCCAGCAGGTGGTGTCTGTGTTTCTTGTAGGTTTTTTTATCACTATAAAAAGTGATTTAAAATGGAAAGGATATTGGAAACCATCCTCGATCCTCGTCTTGCTTCAGACTTCCTTTTTAGGCAAAAGGAGGGCCCTGTCTGGAGTTTGATCCTTCCTAAAACAATCTGAAAGTACATGTGCCTTTTTATTTCCCTTCAAGTTGAAGCTCATTGGGGAATATAGAAGGCTGATTAAGAATCGTTCCAGGGAAATTCATACTGCAGAAAACAGAGTTACACACCTCACAGGTGTGAAGACTTCCTTCTTCTGGTGTGACAGCTCTCCAGACTGCCTGGGTATCTTCACGGGTGAGCCATGTCTGAACCGACTGGAGCCCAGGTACAGAGGCCGGTGAGAGGAGCTTTCCATCTTGACCAAGAAAACATTTTGCCAGCCACTGTGCCAAGGGTGGCAGGCTGAAGAACTAAGGAGCTTACATTTGAGTCCAGCATCAAAATTGCGTCAACATGAGCTAGGGTCTTCTGCAAGGGGATTAAAAATAAAGCCTGCAGTTCCAGCCACGTGGGTACATAAGTTCCTCTCTGGGCTGGGTAGTTAAAAAGCAAAGAGTTAAAACATACAGATCCCAGGGCACCTTTCGAGGCAAATATTAGTGGGTCACTGTGGAAGAAAGGAAATCTCAGGATTTAACCAGTTAGTTGTCAGCCATGCCTGGAGGAGGCTGGGGAAGGTTTTTGTGTCTTTACTCTTTTTATAGAATGTTGCTTTTCTATAACAGTGTATGTATATTTGCCATTGTATTTGGTTTATGTCCCGAAATGAAGTTTCCACCCTGCATGTCCTAGGCAGTAAGTGAAGCAGAAAGAGGAACTCAGTTTGCATTTATACCTGAGGAAGAGTAAACCCATGAGTGTGGACCCCGCAGCGGGGACAGCTAAGCGTGTGGGGGAACAAGGAAGGTGCAACTGGCGATCACATCCTGCAGTGCTGTAGCAGCCACAGGGGAGAGGCAGACTTCTCAGGGTCCCTCCCTGTGCAGGGTTCCTGCAGAGTCCACGTCTTTCATGATCATCACCGTGAGAAAAAAGTTAAATTGCATTTCAATTGTCCCTAATGAGAAAAACAAATGTGAAAAACAGTTTTGTTGACCAAGGTTGAGTTTGGAAGGCCACAAACCTGTCATCGCTAAGGAATTTCAGGGGTATTTCTGGGTTTTTTGTTTGGCTTGGTTGTTTTTGTTTTTCTTATCTGAATCAATTTTATGTCGAGAATTCAAGGCTCAGACTCTTAAATAGGAAGCTACTTTTCCTGTAATTTTCAGGTTTTCTAATACTTCTTCCCTCACAGTATGTAACAGAGCTGTGTCTGCCATTGCCATGGAAAACTCTGGAAGCTTTTAGTTTAGGGATTCATGGCCTTTCACATCTTCCCACCGCATCATGACTTCTGCTCCATGGTGCTGATCCAGGGATGGAAAGTCCTTAGCTCGCACCTTCTGGTTTGCAGTCCCAGAAGCTTCACCCATGGGGGCCTCCAGCCCAATATGGCTGGCACACCAGTCTCAAAGGGTGGGAGCAGCATGCATTCTACACCAGACCCCTGCCACAGCCCGCATCTTCGCAAAATGGCCCCTACCCTAGGGTAGCATATGACTTTCTGAAATTTCTACCAGGATAGTGCCTGTATACGCTCCCCATGTTCTTAGGTGTTATTGGATGTGCTGTGTGAACGAGGCAAGGAAATTTTCTGAAGATGAAAAAGAAAAAGCCAACACACATAGGCCCCTTTCATGGGAAGAGGACCACAAGGAAGAAAACGGCAGGTGGAGAGGGAGCGGGAGCAGACTGGAGATGGCGTCTTTGGCACTGGTTTGGGTGGGGACAGTGGAAAAAGCAGAGCAGGCAGAGTGTGGTGTTCAGCTGTGTGGTTTCTGTTAGGCGTGGCCAGAGCCTCGTGTGTGTGAGTACCTGTAAGCACAGAGCTAGCAAAGCCTCAGCCCAGGGCACTGAGGTCTTCCTTGCCGTCTCATCCAGAGCAGCCGGCCTACACAAAAACAAGGAAGCTTTGTCTCAGAACTGCTGGTGTGAGAGCAAGCCAGGGCACAGCAGTGGAAGCGGCTGGGAGAGGTAGAACCATCCTCTACTGTACCTGCCTGCCCCGTCCTACACCCTGTGGAAGGAGATCTAGAAATGGGTGTTCATTGTGCAGGAATTCAGACTTCCAGAGAAAGAAGGGCTCCGGCCCAGCTGTGTGGGTAAGTCCACAGGGATTCAGAGTTCACTGCAAGCAAGCATGAATTCTCCTGAGACAAATGCCCAGCCTTTGGGGAAAGGAGACTGTATCAAGCTTAGAAGAGCTCATTTTATGGCAAGATCTAGCAAATAATTCCAGTGACATTTTAAATGAGATCACATTATTCAGTGTTGTTACTCAGAGCAGAGGAATCAGTTGAATTGGTGATAAAAAGGAACTAAAATTACAAAGTTAGAAATTCCCCAGTGGTGAGATGGTTTTTGGTGGTGATGGTCAGTTTCACCCTGAAGGGACTTGAGTCAGTTTGAGGTGGATCGGGTTTACTCTGCAAAAATCTTAACACAAGTGGATTCTACTTGGAACTGTGCAGTACAGTACCAGGTATGTAATGTGTCACTGCCACAGCCCATATCTGTGAGGGTGACAAACTCTGTCCCACAAGGAGCTTGCAGTCAATGCTGGGTTCCTGCATCTGTTTTTATATAGAAGAACAGAAAGAGCTTGGAATTTCTTTTGTCTAAGCAAGTTGTCAGGTTTACAAGGACTTTAATCATGGCAAGAGATACTCAACAGTGTGTCTGTCTTAGCATTCAATACAATGTTTATTATAAGCATCTGAGTTTATATTTTTTTTTCTTCTCGGCTATAGGGTAATAACTTCTTGGTGTGCAGACACTATATTTTACATGGGAAATTTTTAACTAATTTTATGTGTGCCTTTTTTTAACTAAACTCTACCATCATTTTCTCTGTTGACATCTGTTGGGGTTTTTAATCTGTTTCCAAGTATTTGTGTCTGTGAACTATCTTCTCTGCCTGGATGCTGGCCTGAAAGAGGATTAGACTTAAATGGACCTCAGAAATCCCCAAACCTCCAGGCACAGGCAGACACACCGCACTGGGATGTGTCCTGGCCTCCAGTGATTCCAACAAACAAGATTCCTTTAAACATTGCGGGGCGGGGGGGGGGGGTATTCTTGGCCTTGTTAAGGAAGGTAAACTATGGTTTTCCAAATCAAACTTCCAACCCGGTCTGTAGACCCAGAAGAATGGTTAGAGAGAACAGATCTAGTACTTCTGCCTTTCAAAATAAAGAAGTATGTCTTGAAGGTTAGGGGCCTTGCCTTAGCCCCATGGCATGTCACTCACCTGCAAGTACATGTGCATGGCCGAGGACCCTCAGTATGGCAGGCTGCCCCCAGTGATCTGGCAGTTGAGTCTCGCAGTCCCCGATTCTCCTTGGCATCAAGGAACCAGTAACATTCTGTGGATCTGTAACCGATGGGAGTACAGTGTTCTAGTGAGCACAGCTGCTAAAGTACATAGCATATTTGGACAAATTCATTTTCCTTTGGGTATTTATATTTTAATCACAAGATAGCCCTGCTATAAAGAGATAAGAGCTGCAAATGGCTTGTTTTCTAGAAGCAGATTCTAATAGCCAAGCAGACATTTCCTCTCTGCCTACATGAAGAGGGATGTTGATCCATCCACCCTGTGTCTCCCTCTGGTGCCACCTCAGCTGCGAGACCAGTGGGTTCAGTCTCTGCTAAACCCATCTTCACTAAGCAGTGGATTTTTTCCACGAGGCAACAAGGTGACTGCTGGCATTTCTCAAAGTGTCCTTGACCTCAGCAAACCTCTGAAAATTTAGGCCTTCCTCCATTTGGCCAAGAAGTGGATGGCTGTTCCAAGACTCCAAACTTGTTGAACCTGCTACGTCACTTGTGGAGTTTGAGTGACTTTCCTTACGTTGGTGTACAGCTCTGTGTGTTTAGTTAGAGATACACTAGTCTATTAAACAGAATGCTGCAATCCCTGCTCTAAGCTTAAGAACCTTTGGCACCACCTTTATCCTACCAAATGCCAGGCACCCTGGCTAAAGGGCATGCATACTGTGGTCCATGTCCTAGGCTTAGAGGCTTTAACGTACTTTTTAAATGAGAAACACTACAGGGTTGAACATTGTAACTAAAAGTATACGATTAAATCAATTACGTTCAAGGATGTGTATTATTGTGTGAGCCGAGTCCTGTGTAAATTACTTGCACACTTTTCTTGCATGATGAACTGATTTTTACAGTTGTTTGTACCAGACAGTGGCATATTTTTGTAAAAATTTTTGACACTGAATTGCAATAAATGTTTTTCCAACAACACACACTGGTGTATTTTTGGTGCATGTCAGTTTAAGTAAGGTTTCTATCATAATGAATGTGTTCATCTTTGCCAATCCAGACTTACATGCCTTCTCTCAAACTTGTTACTGTTATAGTTTCATAAAATTTCTGGAGATACATAGAAAGTAAGCTTGTTGCTAAAGAGTAGCCAGAGCAGTGTTACACTTAAATTTTCCTTGCACTGTTTGTGCAATGACCAGGGAAAACAAAGTCTGTAGTCAGTGTGAAATCTACTTAGCAGGCATTGACAAACAGGGATGCTAGACTTCTGCAAAGTACCAAGAACAACAGAGTGATACACAAGACCAAAATGGTCCCTGCTTTCATGGAATTTAGATTCTACTCACAAGGACCCCAAAATGCAGGCAAATAATTTGTAAGAAGTGTTAGGAAAAGAATATGCAAGAGACTGAGGTGCAAAATACAAGAGGAACCAGCTTCAGGAAGGCTGAGTGAAGCTAGCTGAGAAAGCAGCATGGTGGGTGCATGCTAAGCAGCCCGCCTCAGAGGAGTTAGGATAAGAACATTCCAGAACCAGGTTCAAACCACCCTCCTGCCACTTGCTGGCTGTGTGATGCCACCTTCATGCCTCTCCATCTCATCTGTTTGCCTGCACTGGTTGTGAAGATCGAATACACTCGTCAGGTGAAGCCCATAAATGTTAACCGTTGTTATATCCCCGGGGATCAAGAGTCTAAGCCTGGGCTGGGAAGTGCATTGTTCTGCTGGCTGTGATTCTCTGAGGTTCTTACTGTGGCCTGACTTGTACTTTCACTGGAGTGTACCCTGACCCTGCTGCTCATTCTCCATCAGGAAATGACGTAGAAGGCATACAAAAATGAAGAAACATAACTGTAAACTCCACCAGGACTGTGCATATGATCAGTTAAGCATCTTAAAGTGGGCAGATTATTGTGAGCTTTCTGAATGAGCTAAATGGTGATGAAGGTCCTTGAAAGAGGGAGAGAAATGAGAATGGTTTCAAAGACAGTATGAAGAGGTCTAGAGGCTGAGAGTGAGCACAGAGTCCACAGGGAGGGCAGGGATTCTCCCCTACACTTCCCGGCATTAGCTTGGGGAGACCAGTGCCACCGGACCTTCGAAACTCTAAAATAGTGTGTTCATGTTGTCTTAACCCTAACTTCTTCCAGCATGTTAAGAAACCTATATGACCACTCTTCCCGGCCCAGCCCCAGGCTTACCTTGCATGGCCTCTGCCCAAGGTGGGCAAGGCTCTGGCAGGGAACAAACATAGTGGTCTTCACAGCCTAAGTTAGCAGCAAGACTTTCTTTTTCCTTTTTTAGAGGAAACAATAAAAATGATACAGAATTTCATATCAAGATAATAGGAAATTAACAATGGTTGACATATTTCCTTCAAAGTAGTTGATCAGATGACAAAATACAGACATGAAAAATTGATTAACAATATAAGCAAGACTTTCTTTTACCCCCAGCCCTTTAGAACTTCAAACATTACACAGACAGCAGCCTCTGTCCATGGTAGATCCAGTTTTCCCCTTTTGCCTTAACAGAGACCTCATGGCTTCTGACATCAGTCATCTTCCTGCCTAAGAAATGTCACAGTCAGTCAGCAATGCAAATTCTCTCCAGTGAGCTGTGAGCACAATGCAGCAGGGCCCAGGATCTGAGCTGGGCCCGGCCTCCAGGAACTTGCCTGCAGGGTGGGACAAACAGTGAGGAAATGTGTGTCTTCTATAATGCGAGACCCAAGGTTCCCAGTGCCCAGGGTTAGGTGAGGCATGCTGGAAGAGTCCCGTTGGGACTGAACTTGAGCTTCTGAAGAGGACAGTGGTGTGGGGTGCAGCCTTTCTGAGGCAGCACAGGCCAAGCTCCCTCTTAGGAAGCCAGAAGTCAGGGCTTGTGACTCAAGAGCCAGAGTCCCACATTTACCCCCAATTCAGTGTAGAGACATGTGCGGGTCCTAGAACTGAAGAGCACCTGAGTCTGCACAGGTTCCCCTTCCAAGCTGAAGCCTCTCTGTCCCCTCAAAGTGCCAAAGCCTAAAACATTCATCTAAGTCCAGATGAGCCCAGCTCCCTCCAGGCAGGTCTGCAATAGTTAACCATGAGTGCTGACTTGTCTAAGCCGTTGTACCTAGTTGTTCAACCAAAAGTCAGTTTAGATGTTGCTGAGATGCACTTCTTAGATGTGATGAACATTTCAATCAACCCTTGAGAGAAGCAGATGACTCTCCTGAAGGTGCAAGGTCTCACCCAGTCTGTTGAAGGCCTGAAGCAGAAGATGCAGCACTCGTCGCAAGAGAAGGCCATTCTGCTTCCATGCCCACTGACCTGAGCCAGCAGTCAGCCAGCTTCTGAGTCTGCAGCCTGCCGGCCTACTGTGATCACCGTAGACAATGCTCCCCGGCCCTCAGCTGCTTCAGCCAGCTTCTAACACAAACACAGACAGGAAGAGCAATGGGTTATATACGGACAACACAATATTTATGAGAAGGAATAAAATTTTTCTTTAAGAAATTTGATTCTAAGTAACAAAACATTTAAGGAATAAATATATATCAGTAAATATCTGATCTGTAATATCTATGGATATAGGTAGGTAGAGATTTTATACAATATGTGTACTTCTACATATACTGATGCAGAGAGACACCCTACTGATTGTTCTCTGCAGAGCCCTAGTACAGACTCCTAGAAAGAGAACAAGGGCCAGGAAAGTCTAAAGAAGGCTCCAGAGGGCCAAAGGGAAGAGAGAACCCGAGGAGGGCAGAATCCAGCAGCCGACAGCAACAGCCTGAGAAAGCACACTTGGCAGATGGCAAACAGAGGCATTCCTGGCCACATAAATGTGTCTGGGTGGCTCTCCCCTTCCTGTGCTTTTAAAACTTGTATTCAGTTGTTTTAATTATATTTTACCCTGAGCTGTTTCTTAGTTTTAGAATCATTTCAAGGGACCTCTGGCTCCCTCAGGGAGGCAGTGTAGTGTAGTAGCCAAGAGCTCAGATTGGGGGGTCAGGGATGTTACTTGGGAGAACGATGCCCAGATTTCCAAAGCCCTGAGTTCCAGGATGACACTTTCACTGTTATCATTCCTTGACACCATGGGCATGGATGACAGTGCCCCAGTATGGAACTGCTGGGAGAAGAAACTGAGTCAAGGCCAATTAGATCCATTCAGTGGGGTTTTTAAAAAGTGCTCAACACAGAGCAAGAAGAAATGTTATAATTATTCACTGGGTCCTCATCTGTTTTGTCTGCCTTTATGTAGGGTAAGAAAAGAAAAAAGGAACAAGCAAAAGCAACCATGTAGCCTTCCCTGTCTCTGAAGAGAAGCTGAATGATTGTCACTGACGCCCACAATAAGAGTTGTGGCTTATTCTTCAAGCCAGTGTTCTCCAACCAAATTGCAGGAAACTCTTTTTAAGTCCAAGCCAAATGTGCATCTTATAGTGGCACTACTTGTAATCCCAGCTACTTGGTCTCTGAGTCGGAAGATCAAAATTTAAAAGCCATCCTGGACAATTTAGCAAGATCCTGTACAAAATTTTTAAAAAGCTCAGTGGCAGACTGCTTTCCTATTACGTGCAAGGCCCTAGCTTCAGGCCCCAGCAGTGCTACATATAGTGTGGTATAGGTCTCAGGAACCAGACAGCTGCAAAATGTGGCCTGAAGGCTACCAGGGAAGCTATTGCCATAGAACCTCAGAAAGAGCCTTACAGCATGGTTGGAAGCCAGTATCGAAAAATAACAAGATCTTTTCATGTTTGCACTCCAGATTGACACTTCTCAGTAAGCTGCTTCCAGTTTATTCTCCATTACTTACCTGCCGAGTGCCTGGCACTAGGTCTATCAAGTCAAAAGGGACAGCAACAGTGGTGACATTCAAGGGACACACATCCCCATGGGGACAGCCAGGCTTATAAGGCAATAATGACCCTGTTCCATAATCACGTATGCACAAGTCCAGCAGGCACATGGTTAAATAGATAAATTTCCCAGAGCTACTTTTCTGTGTTTCAGTGTCTTCGTCTACCACGTGGAGATGAAAACAGCATGTACTCAGAGGGCTGCTGGGATTGGTGAGAAAGTCAGCGTGAAAAGTGTCATGGCCGATGCTCACATTTCCTGTCGTAGGTGTCGTCACTGACGTTATGTTGTGTGATGAAGCACTCTGCCGAACACAGTTGATGTTTGGCTTTCTTGACAATTCTACAAAACAGAGACAGTTTATTACTCCTGCTTTGCAGGAGGGAGCTGAGGCACAGGAAGATAAGCTGCTTTCCCAGGGACACAGCATGGACTGGGTTTCAGACTTGGGTTGTCTGTACCCACAGCCCACAGCCCCATGTGGTCACCAGGCGAAGAGCAGCCGGTCTTTCTGAGCCCTTCAAAGAATGCAAAGCCAAAATGTGTAGTACTTTTTGCAAAACAGCAACTGACAAAATGTTGTTTTCAAACAATTTGTAAGGCCAAGATTTAGCTCAGCAGCACAGTGCCTACCTGGAAAGCACAGGGTTGTGAGTTCAGTTCCCAGTACCAAATAAATAAAACAAGTCGCAGTATAGAAGTCTGGCCCTAGAGTTTTAAAAAAATTCACACGAAGTTTTCAACTCAAATTCAAATTAGAAAAGACAAAACTCCATCTTGGGGTCCTGGAGATTCAGACATGGGCTGGCTGGTGTATGTCAGCTGGGCCCACCCTGGCATTTGATCTCCAACTCTGCCCCCCTTTCTGCAGAGAGCAGAGTCCTGCCCTTCCAGATGCTGGCTGGTTGGATTTGGGTGCCACACTGTCCAAAGGGCAATGCAGGGTCCTCCAAGTGGGTTCTGGGCCACCAGTGCTTGCCCACAGTGTTTCTAGAACTATCCCAGCTCCCAGACGAGATGTCTGTACCCTGCAGTTGCAGGCCGGCAAGGCTGGCACCACAGAGGAAAAGCACGGGTAACAGCTCCATCTGCCTGTGAAATCCAAGCTGCTCTGAAGCCCAGGAAATC